TTTAAAATTTAAATGTAAACGCCCATCGGATATATACGCGCGCACACACACACCCACAGTTAGAGAATCTTCTTATTATTGATTCTGTTGACAAAAAACAAAAAAATTTCAGTTTTATTTTTCCTTCCTGTTTCTTTACCCCCACCCCACCCCGCCCCCGACCCTATGCTTTTTGTTTTGAATTTTTTTACCCTTTCCTGACACGTTTTTTTCCTTCTTCTACATTTTCTACTTATTGCTTAGATAACAAATTTTCATGAAAACATTAAGAAAAATATTTTTATTTATAAAAATAAAAAAATTTTTTCGTCGACGACAAACGTGCCTAATCAAAATGTTAAATCGCTCGTGTTTTCGTGTTTGTTTTGTTTTGTTTTGTTTTCCATCTCGAATGAATTCATTTTTCGACCTTTAATTTCAATTAACTTCCTGCCTAAAAATTTCTTCTTCCGATTTTTTTTTTTTTCTGTTCGATCGTTTTCAAATTTAACAATAATAATAATAATAATATTATTATTAATAAAATAGTTTTAAAATAAATGCGCGAATAATAAAAGTAAATAAACGAGTCGACAAAAAAATTTTTTTTTTTTACCGAGTCCACGTTTTAATTTTTCGCGGTTTTTTTTTTTATCAGGGCAAAACGCAATAATATTTTTTCGTCCCATCAAAATAAGTCAACCGCGTCCATTTCGTCCAACAAAAATTTAAACAACCGGATGCTACAAACAAAACAAAAAAACAGTAAACTAAAAACCTAACCGTACAACCGAGTGCAAAAAAAAAAAAAATAATTTGAGTTTCGCTTAATTAAAAATACAAACCGGAAAACTTTTTTTTTTTTTCTCCTAATTAATGATGAAAAAAAATATAAAAAAACTAAATTTAAACCTAATACAAACTCATCAGAATTATAATAATAATAATAATAATAATAAACAATATTAACATGGATTAAATTATTTTAGGTTATTATGCGTAAAATTTAAAATTTAAAAAAAAAAAAAAACATTATTTTTTATGTTTGAAAGGAAGGAATGGGAAACAAAATAAGAAAATTAGGGAACATTAAATTCCTCACGGCTGCACCTCATTGAACAACACAAAAAAAAAATTAGAAAAAAAGGGAAAAAAAAGGTTTTTTTCTTCCTTTTTCCTTTTTTTTTTTTTGTAAGCTTTCCCAAAATTATATACGATTTACACGCATTATTTAATTTAACGAAAAAATTAAAAAAAAAAAAAATATAATAATAATAATAATAATTACGAAGAAAAAAAAAAGAAAAAAAAAGTAGCAGGTTTCCACGAATTTTAAATTTACACGAATAAAATGATTTTCCTTTTTTCGTTTTTCCGTTTCCGTTTTTTGTGCGTTTTTATTTCGTATTATTATTAATATTCATCGGAGCAATGCAAATTTAATTTTTCTTTTTTAAATTTTAAAAAAATGTCATTTATTAAACCTGACATTTTCTTACGAAAGAAAAAAAAAATTTTTTTTTTTTTAATTTTTTCTCTTTTTTTTTTTTTTTTTTTTTTTTTTTTTAAATGAAATCCCGGGAAAAAATTATAACAAAAAAAAAAAAAATTTGTTTTTATTATTTTTTTTTTTTTTATTGAACAACCACAAAAATCAATAACAATTCGATAAATTGATTATGAAAATTATCCCGACAATTATGATAATAATAATAATAAAAAAACAATCGATAATTTTTTGAAAAAAAAAAAAAAAAATTCTATCTAATCGTGGAGGACTCAGGTCGTCGAAATCATAAATTTCATCACTGATTTTTTTTTTTTTTTTTGATTATTTAACGATTAATTATTATTATTAATTATTAAAGGAGGGGGAAAAAAATACCGCTTACAACTTTTAGGCTTGAAATAAATTGTAATGAAAACAAAAAACAAAAACAAAACAAAAAACATCGAAATAAAAACAAAAAATGGAATCTTGTAGTATCACGTACGAACATGATAATAA